CCCACCTTCCAGGATCCCAAACACTCCAAGGTGAAGTGGTCATTTCTTTGAACTTTTTTCAGTTTTGTATCCTGTATTTGTTGCTCACCATTCAGAAAGACCAAATGCTAATCAGCTGATCCTTTACAGAACACTACCATTCAGTCCACAATTGTGGCCCAAACGTTAGCACCCCATCATTGTAAAGATCTGCCACAGACTTACTCTGCTCTCTCTTGTCCTTAGTTCCAATGAACTCAAAAGACAACACCTTACCTTTCAAACAGTCTTTTACAGCTTCCTGGGCTCAACATTGTGTTCATAAGAAGAATAAACAAATTGATCAATGACCATATTTGGAAACTGTTCCATTTTGCACTAATAAAACATGTTTACATTTCATTAGCACCTATCATTTTAAACATTCTTATGTCTTTCATATCTTTTGAAAGAACCTGTTTGTTCCAACAATCCTCCATATACGTTATGCAAAATATACAACTATTCAGTTTTTAAGCTCTGCCACAACAACAAACTATTGTGATAAATTTTCTTGCCAAGTTTAGGATAATTTACCACAAAGGGCCATAATTCTTTCTTTCATGATATTTGATAGATCACAGATACCACAATAATCAAGTAATTACATCTGATGGCATTTAAACATTAGTGTACTAATCGGTCACAAAGGAATGTGATTTATTTTCGGTTTTCCATCAATGTGATGCAAACTATTCAAAAGACATTTAAAAATTAACCCAAAATGATAAAGATAAACTGAAAATAAATACATTGTAAAGGAGATCTTGAATTAAAAACAAATGCTGAGATTTTGATTAAACATATATATTTTGCTTTAATTGCGCATCTTACCCTTTCTCAATTCTCTTTTTCTCATTTGTTCTCTTCTATGTTATTTTAATTTTACTTTTATTTCCTCTTATAGCTGCTAACGGAAATTCCAACAATCCTGTAACATATTTTACTCAAAAATACATTTTTACATTAAAAAACCTCATCCTTTATTTTCTGATTCTCAGATTCCATCACTTATCTTCAAGTTTGGATTCAGGTTGAAAATCTTGATTTCGGCTTCACAAAGAAAAACTATTCCACACAATTGGTAGGCATGCTCTCAGTGGTCAAAGTTCCTATGTTATTAGATTCTTCCCTAATCCCACTTCTCAACAGCCTGTCTTCCCTTGAAATCCTGCTTTTTACCAAAAGGTTTTGTCACACCTCCAAATATTTCCTCCTTTGATTCGTTATACATTTTGTCTCAGATTTATTAAATGTAAGCTGCCTTGAATAATTTAAATCATGTCCATTTATGATTCTTGCTCAGGTAGAGAGAAGAAGAGCAAAAAACTGCCAGAATTGAGAAGTTCAATATTATAATGCTTTGTGAACCTGAAGATTCAAACTGCCTCTGAGTCTCTCTGACTATTGTACATGAGGCAACATCTTACAGCCATGAAAGTATTTCCTAAAATATAATTTCAGAGCAGTGGCAATGTCGCTGGACTGTTAAGTCAGAACCCCACTGCTCTAGATACATTAGTTAAAGTTCAATAGGGCAGATGGTAAAATTTAAGTTCAATAAAATTCTGGGAATTAAAAAAAAGCTAGTCTCGTAGTAACCATGTCATGAAAAACCATCTAGTTCACTGATATCCTTTAGCGAAGGAAATCTGTCATCCTTATACGGTCTAGTTTACATCTGACTTCAGACCAACAGTTATGTGACTGACTCTTAACTGCCCTTTTAGCAATAAATGTTGGCACAGCCAACAATGCTTATGTCCCTTGAACAAATAATTTAAAAAATGTAACTTTCATAGAAACCTCTGTATCTAGAGAGTGTTTGAATTGTGGCACTCACTACCACATGGAGTAGCTGGGGCAATGAACATAGATTCTTGAAAGATAGAGGCTAGACAGGTAATATGAAGGGAAAAGGTATTAAAAAGCTATGATGAACCTCAGTTGGGAGAGATGATGGAGAATAAACATTGTCATAGAATAGCTAGATCAAATCACCTTTTTCATCCTAGTAAATTGTACTTAAATTCATGTAACCACCTCAGATTATCACTCACATCTCAAGTTCCAACAGTAATAAGGAAACTGAAAAAAATCTAACCAAAAAGCAAACAACTGTATTTTGAAACAAAAACAGAAAATGTCTCAAATAGACAGCAGGTCAGGCAGTACCTGTGAAGAGTAAACAGTTAAATGATGATGTATAACAACACTGTACAGATATCACATTTAAGTTTTCACGGCCAGATTTGTTCATCAGCAATAATTATTACTCAGGTCACTGTTAAAACCTGGGTGATATTTTTCAAAATTGTCTAACAATGATGTTAGAGCAGAGAATGGGGAATTCTTAACAAATCAACTGATTTTAATTATTTTTGGTCTCATGGGTCTGGTCAACAGCACAGACTAGGTGCAAATTAGTGACAGTTTGTAGTTTAATTATTTCTGCTTTAAGATCAGTCTTTGATCATATTTGAAACAGAGATTGATAAATTTTGATTACCAGTAGGTGTAAGTGTTTATAAGAATTGTAAAGGTAACTGGTATTGAAGTGTTTGTTCAGCCATGATCATATTGTATGGTAGAACACACTCAAATGGCTGAATGGCTTACTCCTATTCCTATGGTCTGATGTTCTTAAATTATATTTGCGCTAAATCCTGAAGATGATAGATTCAGACAGACATTGATGGCAAATGCCAATGTTTCACTGTCAAAAGCAGAGCAAACTTCAAGCCATTAATAAACTTAGAAAATTGCCATATGATTGGCATTTGAATTCAAGTCAGAGAAGTGTGTGCTTCAATGGGGACAATAAGAAGGCCACATGTCACTTTGTCAAAGAACGAGTATTTCAATGGTATAGATAGACAGAAGCATTCAGGTTTGGGGAAGCACAATTCAATAAAAGTAGCAACACGCGTTAGTAAGGCCATCAAAATACAAACAAGTCTTTGTAGTTAATTGAAAATCAGAACAATTTTTTTAAAAAAATCTTGGTAGACCTGACTTTGAACACGGGGGAATAGTTCTGGTCATTACATCAAACAGGATGTGAAGACAGTGGAAGCAATGCCAAAAGGATTGGAACAAAAACAAAGTTGCTGGAAAAGCTCAGCAGGTCTGGCAGCATCTGTGGAGGAGAAAACTGAGTTAACATTTCGGGTCCGGTGACCCTTCCTCAGAACAAAAGGATTGGGTTAGGGTTAGCCTAACACTAACCCTAACCCTACGCAGGAATGATGCAGAGGTTATATTGAAAGGTTAGATCTTTCAGAGGGGCTCTTTTTCATCGGGAAAGAGAAAATTGCAGGCTTATCTATATGAAGGTTTTGATATGGTGGAGGTGTAGAGGAAGTTTCCACTTGAAGGGGGAACAAGAACTAGAGGCTGCAAATGTTGGATATTCGCCAACACATCCACTAGGGGATCCACAGATTTAAGGAAAAATCAGGCAAGCACATGGGGACGGAAGGAGTGAGTGCGATATGTTGATAGGGTTAGAATGATGGAGGAGGCTAAAGTCTGGTCAACGTAGCAACAAGGGGCAGGTCACCTGAGTGTCCAAGCTGTGAATCCTCTCTGAACTATACGATTTGGAACCACGCCTCCAAATTGGTTCAGGAATAATTTATCGGGCAGTACCTACTCGGCATAAGCAAATTATGGGTTAATTCCAAGTAGAACGCTGCAGCTTCTCTCCATCTGGATTGTTTCCGATACAAGCTCTGATCGAGGAAAAGAATGGAATGTTTCATACTCTCTTTCAAGAACAGTTTTGTAATCTTTTGAGATTAATTGGAATCGGAAATTGGTGCAGATTCAGTGGAAAGTTGCCAGGGAAATCTGTCCGCAGCGTCAGTCACTTCCAACATTCTGACTTTTACCTTATCACATTTTGAAGAGCGAATTTAACATTCCACAATCAGATGATCCTAAAGTTTGCGACTTGAACAATAATTGTTAACTTGTGGTAAAACGGCAAACTCCCATTAACTCAATGATGCTGATGCTCCCAATATTTGCAAATTGATAGGAAAATTATCAATGAAGAGGCAGTCGGCAAAGACACACAGCAAGCACGATAAATACATTCAACAAAACCAGAGGATGCTAGAGAAAACTCGACAGCTCCAGCAGCGTCTGTGGAGAGGAAACAGAGTTAACCTTTCTGAAGAAAATTCAAAATGGTCTGGAAACGTTAATTTAATTCAATTTGATTTATTATTGCCACGTACGCAGGTACAGTGAAAAGTTTTGGTTTGCACGCAGTAAAGGTAGATCATACCATACAAAATTCATAAGGGTAATAGAACAGAGTGAGGAATACCATGTTACAGCTGCAGAGAAGGTGCACAAAATGTGAGGGCAACATTAAGTTTAAAATTTGGGAGGTCTTCGGAAGTCTAACGACAGCGGGGAAGAAGCTGTTCTTGAACCTGTTGGTAAATGTGTTTGTCTGTGCATAGATGCTGCCTGACCTTCTTCGGGACGTTCTGTTTTTTGTTTCTGATTTCCAGCATCCACAGTACTCTTCTTCTGGAGACCGAGACAGCCCGGCAGTGAAAATTAGCGCCAACACATGAACACGATCCTTTGAAATGAGGAGCTAGGTGTGTGAGGACGCGCTATCAATGTGGAGATCTAACAGAGCTGTACGTTAGTGATGGTACGGAGTGTGATCCAGTTCACTTACACTCAGTGCTTGCGGGAGATGTGACTGAATTCTTTACTACTTGCTAAAGTGACTGTAAACTGTGCCCATGACTAGTCAACAGCACTCTGGGGGCATTCTAGAAGTTTCCGGATAGCTCGGTAAAATGAACCAGGGAGTTGAGCGAATGGATTTGACCTAATGATCGGGAGGAAATGTTCTGAAGAAGGGTCACTTTCTGCCTGTGTAGATACTGAGTTTCTTCAATTTTTGTTTCTATTTGGGAAGGAAGGGAGCTCAGTTGGGCCTGCTGACAAAGTAGCTAGACGAATGCAGCACCCCGGGCCCTCTCCCTCTGAGCAAAAGCCCAGCTGAGAAGCCGCCGGGAGCAGTGTGACTGGTTAATATGGGGCCGCCCATTGATCGCCCGCAGCTGCCCATTCTGATCAGCGGCCTTTTCACAAGGAGTACCACATAAGGATTCAGACAATTACTGTACCCCCGTGGGATCCAATTCTGGTCACACCGTGCCTCGAAGGGCTGTTTTTCTCCAGTCTTTATACACTTCACGGACGCCGACGGTCTTTTATTAAAAGCAAAGTAGACGCATTAATCTCCCCCTTGACTGCCTTTTTACAACAGGCTACCTTAGCTTCTTTGAAAAAGTTTTGAGTTTAGCTAACTTTTTCTTTTCTTTAATTGCGGCCCTTCCATTCTGATGAAAATAACATGTTTTAGTCCGACTGCTAAAACCGTTGGCCATCCTGATCAATTTAAATCGTAGACCCAGCTCTCTTCTTTAAACCTAGCCGAACAGTTAAAGGGAGAGGAACAGAGATGACACAGATGATGAAACACTCTTGCAATGGCAGTAATTCAATCACAATAGAGTCATCGAGATTGTCAGCACGGAATAAGGTCCTTTGGCCCATCACGTCTGTACCGGTCAAAAAATAACCACCTCCTGCCTACAACCACGTAATTATTCTAAACCCATTCCCAGAACCCAGCCCGCAGCCTTATATGTCTTGGCATCACGTGTACATTCAAATACTTCTGAAATGCGCTGAGGGTTTCTGCCTCTCCCACCTCTTACAGGCGGTGAATTCCAGATTCACACCACCCTCAGGGTGATAAGGATTTTCCTCACATCCCTTCTAAACCTCCTGCCCCTTACCTTAAATCTATGTCCCTGTCACTAATCCCTCCATTAAGGGGAAATTATTATTAATTTTCTATATCTCAGTCTTGTTCCCCTCAATCTCTTCAGCTGTAAGACAAACAATCCCAGTCGGAAACTCTCCAACCCAGGTAACATCCTGTTCAATTTTCTCACACAAACTGTTGAGGCCAGTTTGTTAGATATATTCAAGAGGGAGCTGAACGTGGCCCTTGTGGCTAAAGGGGTCAAGGGGTATGAGGAGAGGGCAGGAATGGGATACTGAGATTGCATGATCAGCCATGATCATATTGGATGGTGGTGCAGGATCAGAATGGCCTACTCCTGCACCTATTTGCTATGTTTCTATGTTTGACTGATATCAGGTGGGGCTACAGTTATGATAGTTATGGCATTACAGATTCACACAGCACCCTAGCTTCTAGATGAAATATCTTTAAGTAGTTGTAACATAGTTAAAATGAAGGTGTCACAATGCCTTGTTTGTGTTTGTGAGAGATGGTCTTTCAACATCCTGCCCCCATGGGGGAGGGGTGCCCACACTTTACTGCCACTTGGGTTTCATTCTGTCAGTGAACACCTTCAGTTTAATATCTGACACCTTAACACGGGTGGTTCAAATCAGCCCACCTCAAAGACGGTTCTAAATCTGGGATGAAGTGACTTTTATAATGCACGGAAACCAAATAGGCAAGACAATCATGTGGTGCCGAGTGTCTATGCAGCTACAGATCCCGAGAGGAACTCATTGCCACATTAAGGCCTCGCTTCTTGCACATTGTAAAGACACTTTGGCCAGGCATGTTGCTGTCTAAACTCTGAACTGCCTCATTTAAAACCATAATGTGGAGGTGGGGTGGACAAGGGTGAACAAAGTTAGAAGTCACACGACACCAAGTTACAGTCCAACAGGTTTATTTGAAATCACAAACTTTCCAAGTGCAGCCCTTTTGTCAAGTGCAGTGAGAGAGAAGAGCACACAGACACAGAGTTTATGGGCAGAGAGATCAAGGGCAGAGAGATCAAAAGATCATACAACTGGTGTAAGCATGTCCAAAAGTCTCTTCAGGTGACCAAGAGTATTAGAGGGTGTAAGTAAAAGTGTCAACAGCTGAATAACCAGTGAAGGGATGACCTATAATCCAATTAAATGACACAGAGAGAATTATAAAGAAATTAAAAAGGTGGTGCTGGAGACAAACCAAATGGCTGGAATAATATGAGTCACATGCCAAGGGTCTAACCAAAGAAATAAGTAATCCAAAACTGTACAAACTGATTAAGGTAGAGAGATCATAACAATTTATTCAGGTAATGGTGATAAAACAGAATAGTAAGGAAGAGTTTACAGATACAGAACAGTATGGCGAGGTCACACGTAGTGCGCCATGAAGCCAAGATCACTGTTGAGGCCATCTTCATGGGTATGGAACTTGGCAATCAGTTTCTGCTCGGCGATTCTGCATTGTTGCATACCTCAAAATCATCCCTATGCCTTTATTTCTCTCCTTTCAAACCACTGCCAAACCTTAAATACACCATTGTTTGCAGCAAACTACCCAGGCTTCAGGACAACATCAACCACAACACCACACCACCCTGCCATGGCAACCTGTGCAAGACATGTCAGATCATTGACATGGACACTACCATCACACGTTGGAACACCATCCACCACGTGCATGGCAGATACTCATGTGACTCGGCTAATGTTGTCTATCTCATACACTGCAGGCAAGGATGCCCCGAGGCATGGTATATCAGCAAAACCATGCAGATGCTATGACAAGGGATAAATGGAAACCGCACAACAATCACCAGACAGGAATGTTCCCTCCCAGTTGGGAACACTTCAGCAATCAAGGACGTTCAGCCTCCGATATTTGGGTAAGTATCCTCCAAGGCAGACTTCAAGATACACAACAATGCAGAATCACCGATTCTGACAGCCAATTTCTGTGCCCATGAAGACAGCTTCAACCATGATATTGGGTTTATGTCACACTACATGTAACCCCACCATACTGTTCTGTATCTGTAAAATCTTCCTTACTGTTCTGTTTTATCACCATCGCCTGGATAAATTGTTATAATCTCTCTACCTTAATTGGTTTGTACAGTTTTGGATTACTTATGACTTCAGTTAGACCCTCTGCAAGTGATTGTTATACCTATCATGTTATTCCAATCTTTTAGTTTGTCTCCAGCACCACCTTATTTTTAATTTTTTTTGTAATTATCTCTCTGCCTCATTTTAATCGGATTATAGGTCAGTCCTTTGTTTTTTATTCAGCTGTTGACACGTTACTCACACCGTCTAACACTCTTGGTCTCCTACAGAGACTTATTTTTAAACACTCCACTCACACCATTGGTATGATCTTTTGATCTCTCTGCCCTTGATTTGTCTGCCGTAAATTCTCTTTCGGTGTGCTACCCTCTCACTTCACCTAAGGAGCTGCACTTGTGATTTCAAATAAACTTGTTGGACTATAACCTGGTGTCATGTGACGACTTCATTTAAAACCCTGAGAAAATGCTAACCATCATTTGTGGTTGTATTCGGAATCTATGTGGCCTGTCTAGGACTTCAATCTTTTTTAAGAGATTCTGTTGAAACCACGGTTCAAAATATCTTGTACAAATTGATGACACGTCGCCATATCACATCACCACCTCCTGCAACACCCCTCCCCCGCTCCCGACACACAAATGGGGTGGATATTCTTTCGTACTTGGTACACCGTGTAAACCCACCGGAGGGAGATTATGAAACTATCAAATGCCAGGGGTCTGTGGAACATTGCCCTGACAGTGGCTCATGTCTGCTGGAAGGCTATTTCAGATTGAGGGGGATTCTCTAATTTCTGCACCATGTCAAACTCAAATTTTGGGAACACTTTCCGAGGAGAATTATTTTCACCAATGATACTGCAGGTTATTTATTCAAGAACAGGGTATACCTCCGCCAGCCTGTTTGGTGACATGTTGAGATCTTGGCAGATGTATGCCTCTCAATGTTACACATCTTCTTATACATTTCGTTAACGCATATTTATAGATCGACCCGATATTAATTAAGTTAACGTTTCCAGTCTAGTATGACTTCTTCGGAAAAGGTTTCTGTTCAAATCGTTAGCTGCGTTTCTCTCTCTCCACAAATGCTGCCTGACCTGCCGAGTTTCTCCAGCACTTGCTGAATTTGAATCAGATGTCCAGCACCTGCAGGACATTTATTGACATCTGCAGAAGGGCATTTCAAATTTCAACTGTCCTCTGTTTGGTAAGGATTGCCAAACTTCCTCCTAAAAAGTCTGGCTTCATTTTCTTAGACTCTTTCTTAATCCTAGACTCCACGACCAGCGGGAAGGGGAGAAAATCTCGCAATTCTTCTTTTCTGAACTTCTTGGTATTTTATCAAATCCATCATGTTGCCACCATAACCGTAGCTTGTGGGATCTCGCCGTGTAGTTAACTCGTGGGGTCCTGGAACGGACTGCACCCTTTTCCAAAACCAATATCTCCTTCGAATGTGTGATTGTCAAAATGACTGAACATTCCAGTTGTAGTCTAATCGGGACTTTGTTTAACTGAAGCGTGACTTGTGCCCCCTTTTAGTGTAAAGGTCAAAATTGCCTTAGGTATTTTACTCATTTTCGGTGTCTTTTCATGACAGTTTAATGATCGGTGCATTTCTTAGCACTACACTCTTTCTAGATTTTCACTACATATGAAGTAGATTATTTTATTCCGTTTAAAATGACGGTACTCGTCAATTCTCTCCTGGGGAGGTTGCACCGAGTCCCCGTGAGAAAACGGGGCAGTTACATTTCAGGGACTACAATTTGGTCAGCCGCGGTATTATCATTTTAGAATCTATGCTGAACATAGAGGAAGCTACATTTGCAAATACTGATTTGATCATAGTGTGATGATAGCTGCATTTATAAGTATAGGCTGTTGCAGGTAACTATTGATCATACCCGAAAGCACTATTTACCAGTTCCTCCTTTGCGCCGTTCACACATTTGCAAACCTATGAGTTCGTTTGTTGTGATTGTGTTTGATCATCAACACTCTTTTGGCGTTTTCGGGTTCTTTTTAATAGATGCTATGCCCCAAAGAGAGGATGGTTTGTGTTTCATCCAGATGTAGGGGATTCAGTGAGCTCCTCTTCAAGCAGGCATAATGTCCGAGCCTCTGTCATTTGAAATTTAGACACCAAAAGGATGTGATAATGGAATTACTACTCGCCTCCAGGCAACAAGTACGAC